CAATTTCTTTTCAAGTAATTTTAAAGAAAATGGCTTTCTAATACTTAATTAAATTACAGTGTTTTCAGATATTAAATGAGATATAGCTTCCATTATTACCTTACATTGAAAGTTGGTAATTATCACTGAATGGAAACAGTCACAGTAACACACGTGTGTGCCAAGCAGAATCTGTCATAAACCCTCTTTTTCCTTCATGAGATTATTTTCAAGTGTATCCAAATTTACTGATTTTCTCTGTGATCAGCAAGCAACATACTATTCTAAATTAAGATACTTTAGTAATACCCACAGTTACTATTGATCAGTTTTGTTTGACCAAATACCTGTTCTGGTAGAATTCTAGTTCCATATATGTCCCCACCCTTTCCATATTTAGCACAGTGTAGAGGGGTTCTTGGGTAGTTTCAGACCCAAAGAAATGAATCACAAGTGTGAACAATGTAATTTCGGGACATATAGAGACTCAACACAAAGAAGTCAGGACTCTGTTTCCTCATAGAGCTAAATTAGATGAATGACCTGTCCCACATTGATTTAGTGTATGCTTTCTTCACATTGTCTTCTTCTATCAGTTTTAAACACGTGCAGATACACACCGAGTGCTCCCTGGTTCTGTTTTACTATCTAGTTTAGACACATTAACTGGTTAATTTTTGAGGAAGTCACAGATGTCAAATAAATAACTGGTAACAGTGATAGACAAGTAAGGTTTTTTTTCTAATTTCACTTTCAGTGTTTTAGTTTGTATTAGTTTATAAATTTGTTGAGTACTGTCATCTTTCTGTGAAAAATTCAAACCCTTTTATAGAGCACAAAAGTAGTAATTTATATACTAAAGTTAAATCCTCTCCTAACTTCTACTCTCAAAATTCATAGTAATTGCATAATAACACTGATTACCATACATGCTGGGTTTTAGTGTTCAGTAACACAAATCAAAAGCTGACAGTTCTTTTAGATGTTTTATGCCAGCTTTCTAGTTACTAGATGAAGAAAAACAGACCAAAAGCTGTTAAAACACTTGCCTAACTATGGAATGAGTTAATGACAAAGGTTGTCTTGAAATCCAACCTTCTTCATTCATAGTTCAATGCTGTTTTTATATTGTTTCCTCTTTATTTTCCTTTTGTGTTATGTAATTTTAAATGTTCAGGACATCTGCATATTTTATAAATTTTATTTTAAAGAACAGCAGAAAATATACAGAGAAAGTACCAACGAGGTATCAAGGGTTCAGCTAGGTCTCTGAGATGTGCATTGAGTTTGCTCCAGACTTACCAAAACGATTTCTTTCTGCCACTTTTACTTGCTTTTATCATCCTCCAAAGAAATAGACAAACATAAGCACCTGCTTTCAATTATCCGTGGTCTTTTTGCTGAAATTAAGAAGCATCAAATATCAAAATAAAGTCCAGCAGAGGGAAGTGACAGGCAGTGTGGAGGCCCTGGGTAGCACTGTGAGCATTTGTATGTGTGGCAGCTTGTACAGAATGACTGTTAAGTATTCTAATGGCAGTCAAAATTGCCTGAATGGGAAGGAAAGGAGCTGGCCAGAGTGCTGAAATGCCTGGCCGGTCCAACAAAAAAACAGAGCAACACTTCCTGAACTTATTTGACCATGGAACAATTGAAGCTAAATCCAGTGGTCAATTATCAGTTCTCATCTTAGTTAACTATCAGCAATTTTTGACACAGTTGATCATTCCCTCCTTGTGCTAATTGTTAAGACATTGTCTATCAGCTCTAAACCTATTTATATTCAGTTACTGGTGCTGGCAATGGACTCTGCACCCGACATTCAGCTACAACGTAGCTGTGAGGTGGTGCCATGTTATTCTCTGTCAACAGGGCATACTGAGAGCCTGGAGGAGTAGGAGGGGCTGGCTTCTTCTCATGTGCTTCCCAGGACTTCCTGTCTCCATGTGGTTCTGGTGTTATGGCTTAGAAAAACTTCTCCACCCTGGAAGTGACAGTTTCTTCCTATTGCCACATATGATTTCAGTTTGAAGAGGGATTTGTGGCAGAATTTTATGGTTTTATTAACACAGATACAACGTGTACTCAATCTGTGTATTCATTTTCCTTGCTGCCCAGCCTGGCATTGGGATTGGTGGCTCTGATGGCCAGCTGGGCTGCTCCGTCCACAACGGCTTTGTGGTTTTTCAAGGAGACATTGTGAGCAATCCCAGCACAGTAGGATTTGTTGCACATCAGCAGCACTTCAAGCTCCTTGACGTTGTGGACCAGGAACTTCCCAAAGCCACTGGCAGCATGGGCTTTGTTTTCTTGTTGCTCCCATAATCAATGCTGGGCATCAAGATCAAGACCTTGAATCTTCTGCTCACCCTATCGTCAGTGCCTCTGGGTTTCTGTCAGTTCTGCTTAATTTTGACATAACGGTTAGACTCGTGCCAAATGAACTTCTTGGCCCTCTTTTATTTTTAAAGATTTTATTTATTTATTTTTAGAGGGGAAGGGAGGAAGAAAGCGAGGGAGAGAAACATCAATGTGTGGTTGCCTCTTGCATGCCCCCTACTGGGGACCTGGTTTGAAAACCAGGCAGGTGCCCTGACTGGGAATCAAACCAGTGACTCTTTGTCTGCAGACTAGCACTCAGTCCACTGAGCCACGCCAGCCAGAGCTTGGTCCTCTTTTTGACAACCTTGGGTTTCATGAGGGGTCTGAGGGCAGCCACGGTGCTGAGTAGGAGCTGGCTACCACCTCCACAGGCAGTGCTGAGGAGAGCCAGTTTGAAGTTTTTCCAGCGCTTGTGCGGCCTATCTCTACTGGGTTGAATAGTGTTCCTTCTGGAGTCATGTCTTTCCAGAACCCCAGAATGTGATCTTGTTTGGAGATGGAGTTTTTGAAGGTGTAATTAGTTAAGATGAGGTTATGCTGGGTCAGAATGGGTCCTAAACCCAGTGACTGGTGTCTTTATTAGAAGACGACATGAAGATGGAGGCAGAGCTTGGAGTGATGTGCCTCCAAGCCAAAGGACACCAAGGATGCTTGGCAACCACCAGAAGTTAGGAGGGAGGCACGTAGCAGATGTCCCCTCACAGCCTTCGGAGGGAACGTGGCCTTGCTAATGCCTTGCGTACATGCTTTTATTCTCTATACTGAGGACAGATTTCTGTTGTCTTAAGCCACTGGGTTTATGGTCATTTTCTACAACAGCCCTGGGACACGAATGCACTGTCTCATCATAGCCCTGTCAGAGACAGAAGCACCAGGTGCTGACAGCCTCCTTTTAGAAAAGGTTCCCAGACCCATGTGGTCCCTCCTGTGAGCTCAGGAACACCAGCACCAGCTGGGCAGCACCTGCTTCTTTGGGGTCTGAGCTCATCTCTGTGGGGCCCTTATCTAAGCTTCCTTAATAATTCCCCAAGCCCTGGAAGTGCTTGTTTTTTCCCCTTGCAGTTGCATCCTTTGTGATATTTTAGAGTTCACTTTTTCCTGTTTTTGTTACCTAGTTAACAAGTTCATATTTAATAATTATTTATATTAAATTCTCTCAATTCAGCTTCCTGAATGGATCCTGGCTGATACACATCTCCCTGATAGCTTTATTGTTAATTCCCAATGAAATGACATTCTCTGGGGCTTCCTCCTGCTAATAGGTCACACCTCAATCTACTCTGCTGATTTATTCTCTTCTTTCTAAACCCCTAACCTTCCTGTGATCCAGGGTACAAATCTTTCCTCCCTTCTTCCCTCCTCTCCACCTATACTCACTCTCTTGGCAAGCTCATTCATGTTCATGGCTTTAAAATCCATCTCTATGCAGTTGACTCCCAAATGTATATAACTTTGACCCAGATCTCTGTCCCCTGAACTTCAACTATATACTCAGTCTCTCCCTTGCATGTCTAATCAATACCTTAAATTTAATATGTATGTCTAAAAATTGGACTCTTGATCTTTTCTCCCCACCCCCACCGAAGCTGTTGTTTTTATACCTAATTCTGTCTTATTTGATGGGAAATCCACCCTTCCCTTCCTCTCACACCCTACATTAAAAAGTCCTTGTGCCCCTACCTTCAAATTATGTCCAGAATCTGATTGCTTCTTACCACCTCCATTGCTGCCCCTGACCCCTGTCTGAACCACCTGAGTTACTAAAATTGCTTCCTACCTGGTGTCTGCTTCCACTCTCAAACTCTAGAGTCCATCCTCAGCAAGAACAGCAAGAGAGATCTCTTGAAAGGAAGTCAGATCATGTCCCTTCTCTGCTCACAACCCTGCAGTGGCTCCTCATCATACTCAGGGTAAAAGTCAAAGTCCTTACAGATGCCCACATGGTTTTACATGACCTGACCCCCTGCTACCTTTCTGAGCTTGCCTCTTACTCTTCCCTTTTATGACTCTGTTCCCACCACACTGGCCTCCTTGCTGCTTCTCTAATATATCAAACATGCTCCTGACTTAGGGATTTTGTCCCGCCTTCTCTGTTCTGCAGTTTTTTCTCCATATATCCTCTTGGATGATGTAAGTCCTTTAAGTCATTGCTTAAACTAATCTCCATGAAGCCCACCCCATATTTCCTAATTATTACTGCAATGTAACCCCTCCCCCATTCTCCATTCCTCTTTCTTTTCTTTTCTTTTTTTTTTTGTGGCACGAATTATCTCCTAATAAATGACGTGATTTATTTTATTATGTTTATTGTGTTTCTCCTCATGCTTTCATGAAAACTCCATAAGGCAGGAGTCTTGCTTATAGTGGTATCCTGAGTGGCTGGCACATAGCAGGAAGACAGTGCAGATCCTTTGAATGTCAAAAGAGGGAACGCATTCACAGATCACCTGCAGAAGCTCAATAAATGCTACACTGGATGGGTAAAGTAGACCACAAAAATTAGTGCACAAAGGAATTAAGTGCTGCCATAAAGGACCATAGGATTCATTGGAAAAATAAACACTTCCAACATGAGGCTTCTTAAGAAAATCAGTAAGTGAACAAAAAAATGAAATAATTAACAAGTTTAGAAGTGGTCTATCGCTTCTCGGCCTTTTGGCTAAGATCAAGTGTAGAAGTGGTCTAAACCAAGAGCAACAGTGTGCTGCAAAATGTGAGAATCATGAAACTTTTCCTCAATTTCAACAATTTTGAGAGCAATGAGACCTTGTTTCTTTTGTGAATTCTAAATATGTAATATATTAATACCTATTAATATTGAATTAATCTGTGTTCCACTGAAACTAGTTTAAGAAATGCTGCCATAAAATAACGAACTGGCATAAAAGTCAGATTCTGTATATACATAATTTAGATAGAACAACCAATAATACCTATACTTTTCAGATTATTTTATTTTTAAAGATTTTATTTATTTGTATTTCAGAGAGAGGAGAAGGGAGAAAGAAAGAAAGGGAGAGAAACATCCATGTGTGAGAGATACATTGATAAGTTGTCTCTTGCATGCCCTAAATTGGGGACCTGGCCCACAACCCAGATACTCTCCCTGACCAGGAATCGAGCTGGTGACTTTTTGGCTCACAGGCCAGTGCTCAATGCCCTGAGCCACACCAGCCAGGGCTCAGATTATTTTCAATTACATTTTTTGATACTTGTTTGGCAGTATTAAGAATTGATTTCTTAAGAGGGAAGGAATCACAAAACAAAACACACAGAAAAATAATAAATGTATATAAAAATTGATTCCTTAGGACATAGGAGTATTTGAAGACCCATAAAAGAAGGAAATTTCACAAAAGAATTAATTTTTATAGCATTTTGTTAAGATCTGTCTTTTTAAACTAAAGTTTAATTCTTGAATTCAGTAAAATATCTACAAATCTGTTTAAACTTTACATTACACCTAAGTATGCAAAAACCACACTTTAAGAAAAGGTCATTCACATTTAGTCTGGACCATGCAGTAGGCAAATGTTGAAAATGCCTGTTTTCCAAGGCACTTTTTTAGATGTATTTGTTTACATTGAGCCCCAGGGAACCTTATTTTAGGGCCAATGACCTATGATTGGTGGAGGGTGAGGAATCAACAGAAGATCATGTGATATGAAAGCAAATTAAACATTTTAAAAAGTATTTAGAAAGCATTTTTTCTAATTCTTGATTTTAAAAAATGACAACAAAGACTTGCAATTAAACGATAACATGAAAATAATGAAGTAACTTCTGTTTGAGGATATGGTGCATTAAAAGAGACAAGAAGGGTGCGATGTCCCCGAGCTGCCCAGGCAGGCAGCACCAGGGACCCGAGAGGAGCAGAGAGCCTGCGGATCAGATGCTGAGATGATCAGGTGTTAGAGGCATGGGTGACATCTGCAGAACTCTCTCTAAAGAAACGTTTTAATTGCTATATGTTTATTAAAAGATTTTAAGCACTAATGTTCTTGAAATGCTATGATTCACTGTGTTAGGGAAATACCTTCCAGTTCTGGGAAAATAAACATCTGTATTTTATAGAGGGAAAAAAAGGTCTTTTCATGGGATAACCTTAAAAATCATTTAACCTTTTAGGACATAAAAGACTATTTTGGTTTCAAGATGAAGCGTTAAATTATCTGTTGCTACTTGATGCAGGGATCAAATGGAAACAAAATGTGAGGTCAGTATTCCCATCCTAAAGCAAACAGACAGTTTGTTAATTTGGTCAGTTGTGGTGAAGAAAACTTGATTTGGTTGTCTGGATTGTGCAGACAAAAACAAGGATGACTAACTAATGAACCATGAAATAGATGTTTCAAGACACAATGACTTAAGTCAACTCTGATTTTCCATAGGAACAGAATAACAATTAGGGGTTACATCTTGCTACCAACCGCTCTTTGGGGGACTGACTGCCCGTGGTGTTTTTAATCACCTAACAACTGTAAGTGGTGTCTCTGTACCAAATCGTGAGGCATTTTTCTTACATGGATGTCACAGAAGACTTACTTTTATGGGTTTTTTTTTTGAGATCTTTAGGAAGAGAATGCTACTGAATAGAAGAGAAGCTGCGGGTGTCTGTCAGAGCAGCTGGTGAGGCCAGCGAGCCTCAGGCGGAGGCCATGGGACAGCAAGGCCCCCTCTGCTTGAAGTCAAGGGTGCAGAGGATCTCTGGTGGGCCTCCTCTCTGGCTTGCAAGAAGGGAAGGCATGAATCTACTTGACAGTGCAGCATCAATAGAAATACACTTGGGTAGAATTGCTGTATTTGCATGTAAAGTTAGTAGGCAGGACACTCTCTCAAGCAAAGGCATGTTCCAGGAGCTATAATCTAATTCGGCAGACCCTCAGGGATTGTGGAGTTAACGTTCAGGAATGAACAATCAAAAGCAGCCCCATTAGCTTCTCTGACTTGTAGTACCTGTACTGTACTTGTAGTACCAAGAGCTGGGAGGCTGGTGTGCAGAAGTAAGTGATGGGGACGTGAACCAGTCTGGCAGCCCACCAGCCCTGACCTCACCATGGAGCTCTGCTGTTCTTCCTTGTTTGCATTTCGCAGGGAAATTAGAAACTGGATTTTGGAAGCCAGGATGGGATGAAACATACAGAAAGCTGGCACAGTGTTGCCAACTTGCCATAAAGACGCTGAGAACCAAAATGTTTGGGTTCAACATGGCTTAGCAGCTGCAAAATAGCATTCAGCTGGGAGTCTCAGAATTGGCTTCACATTTCTTAGAACTGATCCTTTGTGATTCTGGGCCAGTACCATTACATCTCTCAACCTTTCCACCTCAGTTTCTCTCTCTCTCTTTTTAATCCTCACCTGAGGGCATGTTTGTTGATTTTTAGAGAGAGGAAGTGGGAGCGGGGAGAGGGAAACATCAATGTGAGAGAGAAACATCCATCGGTTGTCTCATACATGCTCTGACTGGGAATCGAATCCACAACCGAGGTATGCTCCCTGACTGGGAATAGAACCTGTGGACTTTTAGTAAAAGGGATAATGCTACAAACAATTGACTCACTTGGCTAGGGCTCAACCTCAATTTCTTTATCTGTACAATTCCCTCTAAGTGCAAATGAGGATCAAATGAGGTAATGTATGTTAAATAAATACTTTATAAATGTTAATCTGCTATACAGGCTACATGCCATAAATGCATATCCCTGAACACCGAGCGCTGGGAGTGGAATATGGCTGTTTGGGTGTTATGGACCAACCGAGGAAACATTTGGAAGTGGGGAGAAGGGACCAGATAGGCCTGATGTATTTTGCTTACATTTAGAGATCCTTAAAAAATCTTTTGCATCATGAAGACCAAAAGCTCTCACTAAAGTAAAAAATTCAATTTAGAACAGATGAAACTATTTCCAGCCAGGAAGAAAATAATCCACTTATTTTCCACAAGTGTGCTTGTTTGTTTTGTCCTTCCAGACGTGTTGGTTCAGTCCTCAAAGCCCAGATGTCCCAAATACTCTGTTAAAGCCCAACTCACTGGTCACTTTCATGACAAGCCTTTCAAAACCTCGTTCACACACCTGCTTGCAGTGCTTTCAAAAGCAGTGGAATCAACTGCAAGGCAGTGTCCACCCTGAGCCCGTAGACCTTTCTCCCTTCTGGCAGGCGAGTGGAATGACCCCTTGCCCGCTGGTCCTGCCCCAGCCCTTTGTGGGCACAGCATGCCCGAGGCTGGTGTGCATTTCAGCTACTGCTAATGGGGTCAAAGTGGGGAGCAACTTCAGAGGGAGAAGACTGCATTTCCTTCTCGCTGGGCTCCCATGCCACCCCTCCAATTCCGGTTCTCAGCATCTTTATGGCAAGCAGGTGACACTATGCTTGGTTTCTGATATGTCTCATACCACCCATCCCACCACCGCTCCGCTTCTGCGTGGGTGGGCGCCTGTGAGTGTGTACTGACTAAATGTTACCATGGCCCAGGAGCTGCTTTTCTTTAATGGACCTTTGAATGCTAAACACCATCACTGACTTTTTTTTTTTTAATCTAAACCTGCCTTACAGAACCTAGCCCTGTCTTTCTTAAAGAATCACACGTGAATTCCTTGAGGTGAAAGCAAAAGTGATGACTTGCGATGAATCTGTACGGTGACTGCTTGTGAATTATGTGAGATGGAGAGATGTTAAAGGAAGGCCCTTTTCCAGAAAGGAAATGAATTTCATCCTTCTCCCCCAGCCCCAATATGTCCGGCAGTATACTTCCCTTTAGAGCGGGGCCTTTGGGACAGTTATAATTAGATGCCGTGCTGCCGGTGGAGACAAGTGGACAAGGGCAGACATCTTTCTCCAGACGGTGCCTGCCGTGACGCACACTGTCTGCCGCCTGGGGACAGCATCGGACTAATTTGCCTCCTCAAAATTAGACCAAGGAACATCAAAATTAATTTGCTTTCCTGGGGTTGGACTAAAAAGCAGTGATGTTTACCTTGCCCCTGTGTTTTGGGAAGTGCGTGGCGGCAGGTGAAGGCCTCGGTCTTCCTGGAGGGAGCTGACTTCTCCTCGTTGGCAGCCTTGGGATACACATTGTCACCCTGACACGTCTCACCCTGTGAGGGCTCCCCAACACCAGTCCTGGGAATGCTTGTTCTGGAAGATTATTTTGGGCTGTAGGCTCAGATAAGTTTCCACCTTCCAGTAGGAAAGAGGCACACAATGCATGCTAGTCTATCAAAGGCTCCGACAAGCCTTATGAAAACAACAACAACAACAAAAATTCAATTTTGCTTAACTTAGAGTTCTGTTCAGTGATTTAACAAATAATTCTAGACCATGTCAGGCTTTCCTCTAGGTGCTGGGAATTTAGCCAAGAACAAAACAGAGGTTCCTTTTCTCATGGAATTTATAGTTTTTGGGGAGAGTGAGACAATAAACAAATAAAAATATATAATATATTGTCATATAGTGATACATAAGAAAAACGGCATAGGCCTGACTGGTGTGGCTCAGTGGGTTCAGTGTCATTCTGCAAACCAAAAGGTCAGCAGTTTGTTTCCTGGTCTGGGCACGTGCCTGGGTTGCAGGCCAGCTCCCTGGTTCACGGTGTGCAAGAGGCAACTGATTGATGTTTTTTTTGCACAGTGATGTTTCTCTTCCTCACTTTCTCCAAAAATAAACGAATAATCTTTTTTTAAAAAGACTAATCATCAGAGCAATGCAAATTAAAGCCACAATGAGGTATCACCTCACACCTGTCAGAATGGCCACCATCAATACATCAACACAAGTGCTGGTGAGGATGTGGTAGGAATGCAGACTGGTGCAGCCACTGTGGAAAGC